GAGGATAATTTCAATAAGTGGGCAGAGTGTGTGTGCATGTATGAGTGCATGTGTTCACATGCATGTGTGCACATGTGCTTGTTGGCTCTGAAAGGAGAAAGGCACCAACGGGGAGGGGCCGTGCCACGAGGCACAGGCAGGGCTAAGGGGAGGTTGGGGCTCTGAAAACAAATTGTCTTTCTTGTACATGTTGCCCAGGTCATCCCCATGACAGTCAAGATGGGGGACGGATGGGAGACTGGAGGTGGAGGCAGGAAACAAGTCATTCCAGGTGTTTCCAGGGTCCTAAGAGCAGACCAGTGTACACTGGGAGAAGACTTGGCCTGCCCGGCAGGAATGTTTATTTCTGTCTCTCAAGAGAACTTCTAGTCCTGATTCCCCTTCTATGACATCAGGTAAAAAGCAACTGTATTCTCCTTTTATGATAAGGAATTCTGTAACCGAAACACACCACAGAAGCAAGGTCAAAGATGAGTCTGTGTAAGCCCCAGTGATTCAGATAAAAGCACAAGTCAACCGCCAGCTTCATCTCTTTCATTAGTGGCCTCTCAATTAAAGCAATTTTCCCTTCCTCCCCAGAGATGAGCAGCTGGTGCTCTGCAGAAAACGTAACATCTAAATTTCAGGGTGCCGAGGGGAAAGAAGGCTGCGCCAGCACCAAAGGCTCGCTCCCAGTCCCGGCTCCCACGTGAAAGTGCGGAGGCTGCACTCGGCCTTCTAATTAGACTTGGCAAAATTACAATGAAAAATAAGATTTGGGAGTTGGCAATGCGGCACATAAACAAACTTCTATGTGAATAATTAAGCCAGAGCTAAGCATATGCTGGAACGTCTTTAATCAATTTGGGATTACAGTTAGCAGTAAAAGCCCAAACGTTTCCGAAAGCACCACATGGCTTACGTGCTGTGGTTATTTTAACATATCTTCTTTGATACACTCGGCATATAACTGTGCCCATTGCTCCCGCTTTCATTTGTCTTCTCTTTTTAAAATTCTCACTTTTGGGGAGAATCAATGACGACACAGGCAACTTGTAAAAAGAATTGTGTGTGTAAGCATGTGTGCACAAACATTTTACGTGTGAGCACACAATGTCAGTAGAGTTTTGGATACAAGTCCATCGATTCCCTTTAGGGAACTTTGCTTCAATAAAACCCAGGGTGTTATGTTTGCACTCAAAGCCAACTGGAAAAAAGAATTGTGTGTGTAAGCATGTGTGCACAAACATTTTACGTGTGAGCACACAATGTCACTAGAGTTTTGGATACAAGTCCATCGATTCCCTTTAGGGAACTTTGCTTCAATAAAACCCAGGGTGTTATGTTTGCACTCAAAGCCAACTGGATGCATTGCAGCCATCAGAAATGACCCTGTGCAACAAGTATGGAATCAGGTCAGGCTGGGGCGACACCTCCCAACTCACAATTGGACTCCAGGGCTCTAAAGGAGGCACTAATTCTCAGTTGGTCCTAAAGCCCCATTATGAACTTTGCTTAAACCTTGGTACATTTCAAACGATAACTGCAGAAACCACATGAAGCTTTGCTGCAAAACTATTTCTGCTAGAGTTTTTCCAAACAAAAGCTCTTAAATTATTAAGAGAAACTTAAAATAAGACAGGATTCTATACATACTTGGTAGCATGTTGAGCAAGTAATTCAGTAAAAGCTTGCAGGGTATGTTTTGAACTTTATCTTTTATCTGAGTTCAGAGTATGAACTTGCTGTCATTTTAGCTTTAAAAGTCAAATCCTTCTCGTATTTTTCTAAACCATCAAATGCAGCTTAAGAAAAATGCAGAAAAGTGAGAGTACATTTTTAAGATGTAGGAAATTAATTCTGCTTCTTTTTATCTCCCAAAAGATAATTATAGAGGCCAGGCTAGTGCCACATATATTATATATAAAATATTTAGATTCTAACATTTTTATAACTGGTTTAATGGTATTTTATACGTATTTATTTTTCTAATACTCTTCTAATCTGGATTCTCCTCTCCCAAACTTAAAGTTTTTCCTAGGAAAGAGTGAATAACATTACTCAGTTACTATACAAGTTCTAGGACAGCTACTAAGTTAGCATCTCCCTCTCCCCAGTAACAATATTTTTTCTTATTACCAAAAACAAACAAGTGAGAGTGATTAGTGGCTAACTTCATCCAATATGGAACAAACCAGTCGTTTTAATTTTAAAATGAAAACAGTCCATACTCTGTATCTGGGCTGGCCCAGAGAAATGAACCCTGCTTACCTTGGACACAAAACATTCTGCTATGGCCACAGGATCATTTTCACAGTTTTCCAACTCTTGCAGAAGTTCACTAATAAAAAAAATAACAGCCAGGAAATATTAGATTAGTCATCTAGTTGAGGACATTTTATACTCGCATAGCTTAGAATTTTAACCATTTCTATAGCATTTACAAGGAATTATATAATTGGGTAACTGAGGATCTACTGTCATTGTACCCAAGGCTTAGATAAAGAACTTGCCCAGGGTCACAGGGTAGCAGAGAATTAAACACAGGTCCAATCTGTAACTCTCTCACCTAAGTTCGGCCTAACATTTAAGTTTTCCAGATGTTTGTCATCATTGCATGAATGTTCACACAAACTCATTCATTCTTCAGATAGCTGCCTACGTATCAAGTGCAAGGCACAAAGGACACATCAGTGAGCAAAATAAGACATGATCACTGGTCTCATGGAGTTCCCAATCCATTGGAAGAGTCAGACGTTCGATAAAAAAATCACACTAGCAAATATAAAGTTATAAGCAGATACAGTGCTTTAAAGGAAAGACATGCAAAGGGAGGAAGTATCTTTCCTAAAATGTAAATATACATTCTTTTTAATGACAGTATCGTTATTTTAAGTAACTACATAATATTTCATTGTGTGGATGTACCAAAATTAATTTAACTAATCTTCAACTGTTGGATAAAATTCTGTAGGTGGAATTGCTGGGTCAAAGGACATTTGCACTGTAAATGTTAACACATTTCCAAATTGCACTCCATATAAGTTGTATTAACATAAGTTTTAATATGTTAAGTGTTTGTTTTAATTAGCTCTATATTCATATTTAACAAAAATTAAATAGTTCTACAGGAGTTATGATAAAAACAAGCAATTCCTTGCTTTCTGCTTCTCATTCTTGACTGCCACTGCCCAGAGCATTTTCAACTCTTTAGATATTCCTGCTGTAAGTAGGTCCATATTTCTAAGTATGCTGATAATGCAGTTTCAGTATTTTTCAGTTTTAGATATTATTTAACTCTTAATTTCCCCAAACTTCCCTTCTGCCATCTTCTCAACTAGCTCAATTATGCAATGTGCTTGGATTAAATGTGAGAATTTACATCTTTAAGACTATGTAAATATCATTCTCAGTTGAGCCTGGGAGTATACCATGATTTCGTTTCCTTTCTTGTGGAATGATGTTTTCCCTGGAGTTAAAACTGAATCTCTCTCTTTTTCTTTTGCTTTGTTTTCAAAGTACACGTCACTAATATATTCTCAAACTGTGTGCCAGAAGTATAAGTCTCATCTGTGTTCAAACATTAGATAATCTACTGGCTTCATTTCTTTTTGGGGACCCTCTGTCCTTCTGCTCCCCCCTGGACAGGCTGCTCTCCAGGCTGCTGAGTTCTCTCTTCAACGCCATCCCGATGATGGCCTGGCCTACTCCTGTGCTGGATGCCTCATTTCTTAGATACCATTTCTAACATATTCCCTCCTTTGGGAGATTACAACATCCAGTAGCTTCCTGAGTACGGGTAACAGGAGGTAAATTTTCTGAGACTCTTCCTGTTTCAAAATGTTCTCCCTGCACACTTGGCTGATAATGTCAGTGGACACAGAATTCTTGGTTGGAAGTCATTTCCTCTGAGTATTCAGGGAGCTATGTGTTGTCATATTAATTCCAATGCAGTTATGGAGAGTTCTGTCATTCTGATTCCTGGTCCGGGTTCTATGTGACTTGTTTCTTTTTTTTTTTTTTTTTAATTCCAGAAGGTTTTGGAGTTTTCCCTTTGTTAACATAATTCTTAACTTGGTGTTATAGGCTTTGGGGTGGGTCTTTTTTCATGCACTAAGCCCATCTGGAATTTTGGAAATGATCCTGAGCAGCCGTTCTCCAAGGGTGGTCCGATGACCCCTGGGGTTCCTGAGACCCCTTCAGGAGGTCTATAAGGTCACTATTTCATCAAAGTACTAGGACACGACAGCATTTTCCACTTTCATTCTTTCCTTTCCCAGAGGCTATGTGATGTATGATATCACTACAGATGGAAAATAGAAGCAGATAGGAGGATCCCTCTGTCTTCTAGCAAGTCATGTGGTACTCCTTACTGCAAGGCAGCAGTTCTCACGCTTTTTGGTGTCAGCAGTTCTCACCTATATATACTCTTAAAAATCCTTTATGGGGATTGTATCTATCAATATTCACTCTATTAGAAATTATAACTTAATTTAAAAATTATTAATTCGTTTCATAATAAATCCAATACATGTTAATGTAAGTAACTTCTTGTGAAAAGTAGATTTTGTGAAATTATAACTTAATTTAAAAATTATTAATTCGTTTCATAATAAATCCAATACATGTTAATATAAGTAACTTCTTGTGAAAAGTAGATTTTGTAGGGCCGGCCCAGTGGCGCACTGGAGAGTGCGCCGCTTGGTAGCGCGGCGGCGCTCCCACCGAGGGTTCGGATCCCATGTGGAGACTGGTTCCCGCTCACTGGCTGAGCGTGGTGCGGGCGCAACACCGAGGGTTGCGATCCCACTGCCGGTCCCCCATACGGGCGCGACACCGAGGGTTGTGATCCCGTTACCGGTCAGTAAAAAAAGACAAAAAGGAAAAAAAAAGAAAAAAAGAAAATTATTTTTATCCATTTATCCTAAATACCCAAATCACTTAAAATTCTTTGTAATATGTCCTTCCAACATTTTAAAAGTTCTTTTGATAGTTCTTTTGTTGAAAACTATCGAGGGTTTTCACATTTTTAGCTATTAAAAACATGTTGACCTCACTCACCCCAAGGAAATAAAGCAGTCTCTCAGTGGTGGAAAGTTACAAGCTATAAGAATAAAAGCTAAAAAGCTCAATAGTCATGTAGCCTTATGCAACAAAAGGCAGAAAGAATTCTGAGGAATTTTTTTTCCTACCTAAAACAACTTCAAACCCAAAATCTGAAGTCTCACCAAACCCAACTGAATATGAGAAAAATTACTTTAGAAAATTAGCAGGTAAATAAAATGCAATAATACACTTAATTAGGTAATGGTACTGCTAAAAGACCAAAAAAATGAATTCTTAAAATTTGTTAACACTTCTAACTATCTGCTCTGTAAAGCCATATAAGTGGGCATAACACATGAAAATAGGGGTAACTAGAACAAAAAGGGTAACTGTTGCTTTATAAAAAATAATCAGAGGCATTTAAGTATTACATTTCATATAGAAATGGCTCTCTATTCATAAATTCTCAGGAATAAAGTACAATGTGAGGTACGTATGCACAAAGATGTCATACAATTTCTCTAGTGAAATAAACTTTTTGAAAGTTGGTAATGTCAGTCTAACATGTTGTTCCAGGAGGTCTTAATTAAATGTATCGTTAGTAGTTCTACAATGATGTCATGCGCGCGCATGCGCACACACACACACACACACAGAGTTATGCAATATTCTGAAAGCAGAAGAACCCTATTTTGAGATTTAAAAGGGGAGAGGTTTAGCTTACAGTTCAGGGTATACTCAGTCTCTCAATTAAATGAAAGAAGACACACACAAGATTTTCTTTGAGCCTATACAGTGATACTAAGTTGATTAGAGGGAATTTGTACCTTCTTAGATTAATTCCAGCAATTGTTTAAAATTAAATTTCCTCTCTGATCATAAAGTATTAGACAATTTTCTTTGGTATGGCACTATTAAAGTTTACAGATGAAGATATTCAGATTTACTTCAAGGACATAAATCATCAGTTTTTCTGTTCTCATATTTATATGGCTATAGCCTACAGGCTGACTGGTATAGTCATTTTTCTCTGCAACCAAACAAGGTAAATAAATGTGATATATTGGCACATCAGCCCACCACTCTGCATATGGTGCACATTAAGGTTGTATTCATTTGCCATATGAATATAATTCCTTTTACCACATCTCCTATTAGTTACAAGCAGTAAATACAGAGTTGTTTTTCTGGAACTTGAGGGCCTGCATTACATCATGGAGCACTAAACATCCTGGACCTTCTGGAGAATTTCATAGACATACTTTTAATGTCACCTGAACTTGAACACTGCCAACATACTGCTTCAAAATCCCACTTGATGAATTCTTCAAGGAAAAAGAAAAATACAGGGTAGACTTAGTGTAACAGTGCACACCAAAAGCAGGGCCAGAAGGGAAGCTCGTTATAAGACAGGTACAAGATGCTTATGTTCTCGACAAAGAATCATATCAAGAGTCATATCCCAGGTATAAAAAGGCTCCTTGTTTCAAGCATGGCTTTCATATTTAGATTCTAGTGAACATAGAAACCTAAATTTAAAATATCACTTACTTTTCCCCAAATGTAGCCTACTGAAGACCTGTGGTCAGTAAGATAATAGTTTATCTCATGACAAACTGTGGTGCTTTGTTTTATTAGGCATACCTTGCACTTTTTCTGTAAACAAAATCTTTATTATAAAGTTCTAAATCCAGGTTGGGTGGAGAAAAAGAGGGAAGAAAGTGATTTCTTTTTAAATACTTATACAGTTAAATATAAATCTATATACCCTGACATTTGTGAAAAACAAAGTACACCTGTCTTATCAAATACCGATTTTCATGCTTCCCAACATTAAGTCCCCAAATGCATCCAGCAGATGGTGCTGTAGGACACCTACTTACAGAGAGTAATACTGTCTGTACTATATCCACCTACATTTTGGCAAGACAAAGAATAAGGATTTATCAGTAGCTTCACTAAAACATAATAGGCTTTACAATAAAAAGGTCATAATTCCTAAATATGTGCACAAAAATATACATATGCATAAGCACACAGGCACAGAGGCAACCAGTAAATGATTCACACCTGGACGTTATGATACTATTCTTACAGACTTGATGAGTAGTCTATGTGTATATCAGTGATATTTATAGTCATATGGCAAGATCATTCTAAATTCATTTAAAAAAAATTTAGAATGCCTTAAAGTTAGAATTCATTTTTAATTATAGCAGGAATGTCTCATTAGGGTGATACTAGTAAAATTAACAACAGTAGGATTTACGGTAATGACTTAAGTGATTGATGAGAGTATAACAAAATGAAGTTTTAGACAGAGAAAAAGCAGAGCAGCTACGGCATACAGTACTTTAAAAAACAGCTCTGTGGTCTGTTAGTGCTAGCCTTATGGTTAATAAAACCTTCTTTCTAATTAACGGTGCTGAAATATTCTTAAAGAACAGAATCTTGTTGTTATGAAAAAACTTAATAGTTTTTTTTTTTCAGTAGACGCCATTCCCATAAAGGAGAAAGCTGACATAGATTAGCATGTCTGATTGCACAGAGGGAAAAAAATGCCACCTTTCAATCAAATCAAAACCAGAATGCAAGAATGGAAAACTACTTTACTGAAATACTACTCACACAAATCTATGCAACACCCTCACAGTCAGCAACCATTTGCTTCTAAAGCTAATCAACTGCGGCTTTAAAAAAAAATCACCCACGTATCTAAAAATACCTAACATGCATTTAATTTTTAAAATCCAAGTTTATGATTTATTAATATAAAAATACTAAATAAATAATAACTTTTGTATATTTTCATCTTGCTTATCTAAATAAGATCACGTCAAACGTAAAGTATTTAAATACCAACTGAATGCAATGGGGAACATTTTCTCCAAAATTTGGAAATGTGCAGTCTGGATAGCATTATTCCGAAGGAAATTTGGGTATCTCAGGGAAAGCACTTTGGTGGACAAGATTCAGTCCTAAAACACAAAGAGTACTAGGGCAAAGAGAGATGCAATGCTTCCATGTAGAAGATACCTTTCACTGAAATGTTCATGGTAAATTTTATATAAGAAATCCACATTTAAATGGAAGCCTATTTTAAATTTTCTTCTCATCGAGAAAATTGCATTCCAGAGAAGATAACTATCACAAGACAATAAAGTCAAAGATGAAAGACTATCTGGTATACAGGAAAACAAGCCTTTGCTATGTATAGGCAGGTTTCACAAAACATTTGCATCTTTTTAAAAGCCTCAAATTGTGCTATTTATAGATTTTGTCTAGTTTGAATTAGCCTGTTTTTGCCAAAGCAATATGCATATTAATACTGGATAACATGATATTTTAAAATATTACTTATACAGCTATCAACTTTACATATAGCCAATATTAGGTTTGGAGAAAATGGTGTATTGTAGGCTTATGACCCTAGCAAAAAAAATTAGTAACTATTCTCATTATTTTTAAAATAAAAAAACTATATAGCTGAATTAGAGCTATAAAATGCAGAAAAAGCAATAGCCTAGTTTTCTTTCATTTGTCTATTTCCTAATTTTTAATAAAAAATTTAAAGTTGAGGCATTATGTGCATTTATAGAACATATTATAATTGTATGTATATAAAAGCTTGGTCACTTCTTAAAAAGTCATTTATATTACACCTAAGAGATACAATACAGGATTAAGCATAACACAAAACCCCTCATCTGAAAAACTCTTACTTCAGCTGCTGCATCGTGGAGCCATCAATGAGCCAGAGGCTTATAAAATACAAACCAGCTTGTGTGAATTTTTAAAACAGTTTGCACATGGTAAAAATGTCTTTGTTTTTGTTTGTCATTTTCTCATGAAAAGCTTAGACTGGCTTTTTCATTTTTCTATTCTAATGTGTGTAAATTCTCATTGTATGAAAAAGTGCCTATTTGTCTTTTTCCCAGATTCACCTTTCAAAGCTAAAGCAAGATTAAACTGGGCTATCAGACATTATAAAAGGATGGGGTTCACTTTGAGAAAGGTAATTTAATTTAGTGAAGATACATTACAATTTTCTAAAATTTTTATTAGATATGCTGTTATGTTATTCTTTTATTTTTTTCTTTTCATTACTAGCATTACTAGGAGTTAATGTCCACCATACTCCAGACAATCAAAGGGTATAGATGAAGTGCTTTATGAAAAATATAACATTATAATATGTACTCTAATGCCAACAAGATGCTGTTTTTGTGGTGATTTATTTGCTCTAGGTATCCTGTGCTTCTGATAACACCTTAAGTCTGTTCTGTTGTTGCTTTCATTTTACAGACAACAGAAGGACCACAGCGAAGCTTAGAACTTAGATTTTTTTTTTTTTTTACTGCAAATCCCAAGATTTGGTCAGCCCGACTTGATTCATTTTTTTAAAGGACATGCATGTAAAAACCCTCCTTAGGGTGAGTTATAAGGTATTCAAATATATAAAATATATTTAAATATATATATATATATATATATATATATCATGATATATATCATACTTCTGGAAAAGCTGAAAATTTCTCACTTTAAAATATACTTAAATTTCTGAAATGCAACAGCACTTACATACAGGTGCAGCTAATAAGTCTTTGGCTACCTCTCAGAGGATGCATTGGCAGTGAGTATGTATAATATACAGAGAACATGATTAAGTCAAGTAAAAAAACAAAAACCCAACATCTATCTTTGTGTATGCGTGTGTTTAGATTGCTATATGTGCATGAAACATCTTACATAATTTTAAGGCAAGAAAAAGTTCTTCCTAAATATTTTGAGATAAATAACAAAATTGTAGACTTATTATCCACATCAAATCTAGGTTTGTCTGAGATAATTTAGTAAATCTCAGTAAATAGATTTACAGAAACAGGAAAAAAGAAATTGAAAGTAGTCACTTATCCTAAAAAGCTAAAAAGGAAGGACCAGAATGTCAGTATCCATAATGTAAAGAACATGAAGTATTTTTCAAAAGAATATGAAAAACAAAATTCCTGATATTTACATCTGTAAAATCTTGTAATTATACATAAAATGGAGGTATTTATATAAGTATGTGAAATACATGCACACATACACACTCTCCTCCCACATAAATACACACACTACAATTTGATCTCATTACTAACACTGTCATCCACAGCCTCATATCCTTAACATTATTTTTCATATTCTATTCATGTAGGAAATTATCCCCATTTAGATTAAAATAAGAAATATTAGAGGTTCATTGAATTAAAATTCCGTTTACCCACCAGACCAAATAAATCTATGATGAACATAAGAAGAAATAGTTTTGAAATAACACTTTATGTATATACTTCTTTTAAAATTATACTAGCATTTGACCAATTTTTTTGAAAAATGATCTCACTTTCATACAAATATTATACATTCAAGCACAGCTTTGAGAAGTCAATCCAAAATATGATGAACTTAAACATATATTCAGACCGTTTCATTATTTGGGGTTGAGTGACAGAAGTAAGTACCATAGTATTCAGGTAAAGTAATCAGGAACAACATGATCCTTCCTTAACTAAATACAATGCAACTTGCTTTAAATTAGAAACTGTAAATATTTAAGAGCAGTTAAAATGCTCTACCTTACGAAGTAAAAACCTAAAGCTATTCTTGCAGGAACTCTTCAGTGTTGTCATAATCATTTTAATTAAATTCTCATTTTTCAGGTGGTCCCTTTAGTTGTTTTTTCCTACTTAATGTGTTTTTCTAAAGCCATTTCTTTTCTGCAGCTGTGTGTGATTGGTTTTAATGGTAGCTGCTTCCTTTTTTGCCTTCTGTGAATTACAATTTTAAATGGTTACACATTTTTTGTTTTACTGCCTTCAGAATAGTTTCATAAAGATGTTTAAGGCTGTTGGTGAACATTTTCATTTACCATCTGAAAAACCAAGAACCAATTTGAATATTCCATATTGGCCTTTTATGACCTGTTTTATCTTTTAATATGTAAATGAAAGCATAATTTTATAAAGACTGGTTTGTTTCCATGAAACTATAACTTTTATTTTGTTCTTTTAAAATATGAATTCAATAAACAAGATAATATGTGATTGCCTTTTTATATCTTACTGTTTGTGAATAAAACACCTCCGTTGTATTTGGCAACAGCCATTTCTAATGAAGAACCAGCATTTTCAGATCATAAAAATAACCTATAACATGAAAAATAAGATTTCCTGCTTGGATTTTATCAGTGGCCACAAAATATTAATAACAAGGCTATTAGACCTTTCTTAAATTACAACTAAGAAATTAAAAATACTTGATAATTAAGTTTCACTCCCACCATAATGAAAAGGTAACTCCAGTATAAAATGTTAGTATACGTTACTTGTAAAAGTTTACTTAAAAAATAAGTCATACTTACTGCCTGGGTTATCTCCAATCCCACTGCTTCTCCCATTCCAGTACCACAGCAGAAGGGTTGCATCGCGTGACCCTGAGAGAATGTAGCAATTTCCCCCAATATATGACTCAGAACGAGTGAGGCAAGTGACAACATCCCAATGGCCAAACACCACTTGGATCAATTTTCCTGAAATACACAATAATTTTCTTTAAAACTGCTATTAAAAATATAAAACAAATGTCTATCTTGTGAGATAATGAAACCATATTAACTCAAATTTTGATAATTCAGATTTTATAATAATTTGACCTGGTCCAACCTAAAAGTTTTCTTTGAATACTTAAAATAACAACAACAGAAAAAAATCAATTCAATAGAGATAATAACATTTTTGAAAGGCATATGTTAAGACTATTTCAATGAATAATATTTGAGGACCGTGATACTACATCATTGTAATGACTACTATAAATTACAAATGAATCATGTTTCCTGATTAATGGAGGACCAGAGAACCCTTATTTGGAAACTTCTTAACACTTTCTTAAGTTACTCTATATGATTCAAAATAAAACAAAACTTAGTTGCCTTTCTGTAAAAGTGCTCTAAATTTCAAACTTCATTCATACAAACCGTCTCTGAATTAGTGAAGATTTAATGTATTTCTTCTTTTTTTAAGTAATCTATATGAGGACAACATACGTCACTTTAGACAGCTTCTGCTTTTTCAAATCAGGATTACATGGACTAAGTTTTGATGAAAGGACTAATTAATTGTGATTGCAGTTTGAGCCAGGTTATTCTTTCTTGGTTTTAATTGTCTGAATGATGAAAATTCCTTGGGGGGGGGGTGATGATGAAATCACTATTATGGCAACTTAATGGTAATGACTGTGGACAGTGGAGAGGAATCCAGTAAACTTACTATATATCTAGAGCTCCAAACACAGGAAAAATTGTTCCCATAAAGGTGTCAGAAAAAAAGTAAAACCCTCACCTTTTAGAATCTTTGTTTAACCAGAGATGGTGGTTTATAATTATAATTCACACAAACCTGTTTAAGGAATTAAATATCTATAGCAGCCCCTGCGTTTCATCTCTATAGTTTCTAGCTAACATTTTCCTTTGAAATGTCTACGGAACCTACAAATGAATGTCATAGAATATCTACTCTTAATATTCAGTATGGCTTTCTTTTCTTTTTTTTTTGGTAAATATTTCAGTGGGGTCATACAAATATAATTTAGATGCTCAGGAAAAAATATCACTAAGCCAAAAAAAAATTAATATACCTAAAAAGTTCATGTTTAACTTGGAATACATTACAAACTGTTCAAAAGCTTAAGGTCTCAATTAAGTGTTGGCATCTAAATGTATTTAACTTTTCAATATAATAAATATAATTAAGAAAGTATTTACATTAAATGTTTTAAATTCCTCATATTAATAAATCTGAGGCTTATTATTATGAAGGCTGAAAATTTAGAAATACTGAAATATACTTTATCTAAATCAATGGAAAGTCAAATACACATTCTCACTCATGAGTGGCAGTGTTGCATATAACCTACCAGTAGTAACTTTAAAATCAGATTCATTTCAATTTCAAATTGCATAACTGATAAAGTAAATTTTTTTCTCCTGTGATTAAGAGGGAGCAAAAACTTCAGTCAAAGCAGGTGTTTCAACTGCTAAATGTCCAAAATGTTTACTTCTGAATTTCTTCAACTTTTAAACTACCAACAAAACATTTCAGTAAAAAATTTAGCTTATGGGCCGAGCCTGTGGCGCACTCGGGAGAGTGCTGCGATGGGAGTGCAGCAGCGCTCCCGCCGCAGGTTCGGATCCTATATAGGGATGACCGGTGCACTCACAGCGCTCACTGTCTGAGTGCCGGTCTCAAAAAGGACAAAAAAAAAAAAAAAATTAGCTTATATCAATAAAGAATATGGTGAGAATTCAATACTTTCTAGAATAAGAAAAAAATTAAGAGCAAATTAAATATGAAAAATATAATATTTTTCACTTCATTTTCAATTTATGTGAAGAACAGAGTAGAGAGGTTTTATAATAAAATGAGTGGAGTTAGATTACAGGCAGGCCTTACATAGGATAAGACAAAAGTTAGGAAACTGAATGTATTCTTGTCAATAGAAAACAAAAAGTTAAATCTGTGTATTTTAACTACTGAGAGAGTACATTATATTGTAATAGTTTCATTCAGTGACTTCTGCTTTAGGCCATACCTAAAAGCTGAGAGCATATAAACTAGAGGGGTGACTTAAATAGTTTATTTAGGGATAAGTTTATGTAAGATTTGAAACCCAACAACTCAGTGGATTGTAGTGAGGATGAGTGAAATAACTACAATTAACTGGGTACTTGAGGTAGAGCAGTGCCGAGGAAACCCAGGTGTTCTGCATGCACCTGGCAGCTTGCAAAGAACACCTATTCACTTGGTGATTTAATTTCCAACTCACTCACTTAATTTACAACTCTCGTGAGGACAAAGTACAAAAGATTTAGCTGTAAAAGTGGCATCGATCAAATATAGAGGAAGAATTTTCCAAGATTCATATATTAATTCTCATTAGTTAAGTCAATGCACAGTTTCTGCAATGTCAGTTTGAGGAAAATGGATACTCAGCCACTGTGGCTCCTTTTTTTAACTAAACATTTCCTAGCATTTTAATTTTTGCCCAAAAGGTTATCACAATTAGTTTACATTCAGAAGCTTTCAGCAAATATTTACTGAGCACCCCCTACTAAGTGCCAAGCATTAGGCCTTCTTACACGTATATACAGTAGTGGTAAACAGACACGGTCCCTGCCCTCATAGCATTTACTGTAGAGTGGGGCAGACATTAAACAGATCAACACAAACAGATATAAAAGGGTATTTCAAAAACTTCATAGAAAGATTCATATTATTGCTTAATTCTGTTTTTCTATGAACTTTTTGAAGTATAACTATGAACAGTGGTTAAGTATTATAAAAGAAAAGAACAAGGTAGGATCAGTGAAAATAACAAGGTAGAACAAATTTAGACTGGGCGCATCAGGGAGGATCTAAACGAGAGAATGTATCTAAAGGGCTTCATATTTTCGTATAAATTAACTTTATTCTCTACAATTTATGCTTTGGGATCAACTCTGGAAAACATTATTATTTTATGTTTACTTTTTCCTGTTCTGGCAGCCTTCCTCAGCAATATTTGTTATTGCTCTGAGGTTGAGGTTGACTCCTCCTAAATAAATCACAGCATAGAAATACCTGCTGCTCTTTTTGGTAAATTATTTTCTGATAATCTCATAAGTGTTCCTCGACCTTTATTTTTTGTTTCCTTTAATACCAGTTCACCTCTCCACACACTAATATCAAATATTACCACAAGCACTAGAATATCCCTTTTTTGACAGAACAAATTTTCTAGTTAATGTTTTATTTGACAGCTGTGCTACAAATAAAAAAATTCAAGCTCAGGACTCTGCGCCACTGAATCTAAAATGTGGCCTGAAAATAATTCCGACTGCCGAGGGAAGGTTTTATTGTTGCCTCTGCCGTTCTGGTTGTGCCCTGAAAACATGATTTATGTTTAAAGAATTTCCTGTTACAACCCATGTTTCTCCTCCCTCTCCCCCAAATCTAATAAGAGAGGGATTTTTTTTTTTGGCTTGCGTGCTAAAATATAATTGAATTCAACACTTGTGATAGCTCTGCCATTATGTATTACTGATCATACAATTTTTCCCTTGCTTCTCTGCCAAACTTAGGAGAAAATATTTAATATTCCTATTGTCATAAAAACACAAACACAGATTTACCCTAACTGAAATTATTTTAAATAAAACTAGCATCAGCATTTGTATACAAGATATTAAGACAGATGCTAGGACTATTATTTGAGGTTTGTTCCCCCCGGCCCCCTCCAACAACTTTTCTGGCAAGTATAAATATTTTTATTCTACAAGCTGTCAGTCCCACTGAAATGAAGTTTAAAATAAGACTCCTCCTTATGAAAATGTTTTACCATTCACAGGCATATTTTTTAAAACAGTACATTAAAAGGATTGTGGAAAGAAAGGAAGGAATGATACCCAATTTATTAAGTCTAATGTAACAGTGTTACAGATTACACCATTTTCCAAATTAACCAATGATTGACCGGTAACACCTGTATGAGACAACAGGTATAATTAGCAAAGAATGCTAATTTGAAGCCAGAAGAGCTAGGTCCAAGGCCCAGTTCTGTCACCATTAGCTATATAGATTTCAACAAGTTACTTATTCTCTCTAAACCTCAGTTTCATCAGCTAAAAAATGGGGATAAGGACACCTATGTATCTCAGAGGATTGCTGTGAGGCCGAAACAATATCATATATGTGAAAGAATTTTATAAATTCTAAAAAAAACTGTCTAACATCATAATTATTTTCATTATTAGGATTATATGAAAGAGGAGTTAGCATCACTTTACAAATATTAATATTCAATGCCTTTATAAAAATATGGAATGTCAACAAACAAAAAACTCAAATGTCAAAACCAAAGATTGACATAATTTATGATTCCACTTATATGACATTCTGGAAATGACAAAACTAGAGATGAGAAATAGATCAGTGGTTGCCAGGAGGTTGAGGGTGGGGGAAGAAGTTGATTCCTAGAGGCAGCACAAAGAAATTTGGGGGTAACAGAGTTGCTCCGCACCTTGATTGTGGTGGTGCTTACATAACTCCTTGCAATTGCCAAAACCAAAAAGGATGAATTTTACTATGTAAATTTAAAGATGCTTTTTAAAAATGGGTATAAAACCAACACTCTATCTAAAAGAATATTTATGAAAATCTCGTGAGAGAATGTAACAGCTTGTGTAAAAAGAGCACAATCTGAGGTAGAATAATGCTAAGGTTATCATTATAAAGGCTGAAAACAAGGTTAAAGAAAGGCTAAAATTTGAATTTAATCATTAAATCCAAGAAAATTCATTATAATAACAAATATATTTTAAGAAAACTTATCATTTCCCATTGCATTTTTATAGAATGTTAAAGGAGTTTTAGGTTTAATAGTAATCCACCTCACAGACTTAAACATCTAGTAAAAGCCTAATTAATCAGAAAGACTTGAATGATGATGTTTTCTTTCTTGGACCTACAGAATACAAATGCAAATTATAAGAAAACTACATCATCGATCCCATAAAACAAAAGATAAACAGAATCATGCCTACAAACAACTTCTAGGGTTTATTCTATGAACAGTACATATTAACTTTACCTACTCTCATAGCTATGTTACAATAATACCATAAAAATAACTTATAACAAGTTCCTTAAATAACCAACACTTAACTGTCCAATATACTATACTTACTAAAGCAGGAGCATGGATTCATACAGTTTATAAAATTATTAACTGGAAGATTCCAGCTTTCCTTTAAAAAAAAAAAAGACTGGAAGATGATTTACTGTAAAGCATTTAATCAAGTAAAATTTCCCACTGAAAGAATTTTCTGTTCACTCCCTGTACTGGCCAGCCAAAAAAAGAGATTTTTTCCATGCCCACAATATTTAACCAAGATATGTGTAGATCTCTGTTTCAGCTGAAATATCTGTTTCCATAGTACATATCAATTAGTTCTAATGCATTAATATCTAATTTTAATTATTCTAAATATTCAACTACATATTTACTATACATTTATTTCATCCTCTAATTGTTTCTAAAAGACTATAGACACCATTAAATTTCTCAGTGTTTCTCAATTGCCTATATGCAAAAATGTATAAGCATTTACTGGATTGGATTTTCTGTAATAATACTGAGTTGAGCTTGGTTTGCCCTTAGGGAGATGCATGCAAATGAATACATAGACTTATACTTTTCTATTTTAACAAGAGCTCCTGTCACACATAAAATCAATTGTCAGCTACTTTTCTTCATGATGGTGTAGCTTTCACCAAGATCCTATGCAGAATTGGGTGGAGGCAACATATCTACTCCCAAGAGATACACTTAATGGATCTTTCCAGTAAGGAAAAGAAAACCCTTTAAATAATACAAAAGTGAGAAAATACACCTATGTATGTGCACTTCCTATACACTTATGCATATATACATGTATGGTATTTACATACCAGGATTTGCCTTCAAAATGAATCACTTATTTTGTAAGTGTGAGCTTGGGAAACAAACCTGTAAAAAACGGCCTCTTAAAAACATACATTAGCTAACTTAATAGTGGACTATATAGTAGATAATTATTACTTGAAAGAGAAAAACAGTGTCCTCTTTTCCTAATTTTGCATATTTTAGAATTCTGTAATATTTGGAAAAAAGAAGATGACAAAGCATCCTAAGCCTCTCAATCCTACTTGTAGTAAACTTTAGTTCACTAATAAAGGAAATAAAAATTACCTGTGTCTGTAGAATAGACTCGGAAACTCTTATCCCAGAAGCCACAGATGAGAATATAGCGGTTGTCTGAAGTGATGACAAAGCACTGGGAATGGACTCGAATACTCTGGTCTAAAAGGTCAGTGATTTGCCTCCTGTGCATTCCTGTATTGCTGGCTGTGAGAATAGAGGAAGAAAAACAAAAACCTAATAAACCCACATGGGCAAAGAAATCTTATAGTTTGTCATATTGGGAGTTGGGAGGGAAGAGAGAGGAGACATTCCAGGAAAAGAGTACTTGATCTTTAATTTTAAATATCATAATATTTGAAAAACCAAAAAGGAAAACAAATCTGATTGCTGGAAGAATGTGGGTAGCTAAATTCAGTATCTCAGTAAAAAATTTTTGCTTAGAGGAAAGAAATAGTAACATACTACAATTTTAAAATAGTATACAATTCACAGAACGTGCTTTGTAGCTCTTGGGCAGGACCAAACTAGATTACAGTCTCCAGATTGCATCACAGTTAGGTTTGTGTTTCTGACAATCTCATAACATCTATTGTCATGAGAATGGATTCATGTTGTGACAATATATTACCTTTAACATTTTGTCACGGGAAGAGATATTAGGATTTAAATGTCATATATTTGAAATGTTGTAGCATCTTGTACTACTTTGGCTTTAACAGGTCTTTAATTTGACTAGATGGGAACTCCCCTTTCCCCTGTTTACAGCTGCACTTGCATGTAAGAAAGGGGTGGAAGGACTATTTATTAAAGATTCTTGTAATTGAAAAAGTCAAAGAACAGCAGACTGCCACTTTCTAACTCCTTATTTAAGCAATAAAACAAGACAGCCTGGCAGTGTGTTTTCAAAGTGCCACAGAGCACCTTAGATGGGGTTTGTCACAAGGCATGAGGTCAGAGAGAGCAACACCAAGCACATGGGAAGAGTAATAATCCTCTAGAAATACACCATCAAATGTGCCATTATCAGAAAAGGAATTTTCACTGAGATGCCTTTTTTTTGGCATTATGAAGCCAACCAAAAAGAGAGCTTTGTTTCTAGTGATCTAAGGGTTATTTTTACCATTGACTTTCTAATACAAATAATGATTCTTATACTGCTAAAGAAACTTGATAGTACCAGAAATCAGAACAAACAAACAAAATTTCTGCATCTGATCAAGCTTGTTCTACCATATTTTCAGTTTCAAAAGCTATAAATACATTATTGATAAAAATTAAAAATAGAAAAATATCTATATTATATTCACTGTATGTAAAAACTAAGTAAAGTGGTTTAATAGAAGGCTCAGACAGTAAAACAGAAGTATAAAGTGTTCAAAATACTTTCCAGTGCTGTGCTGGGAACCTCTGAGAACACAGCAAACCGAAATATTCCCTGTCCTCATGGCACACACAGCATAGCAAACATGTACATAAACATATTAAACACTGCAAAATTCTGCTAGTGTCTGTTGGCACAACTTAACCACTTAGGATTATTAGATAATTGTTTGATAATGTAGGTTTATGTACTTTAGGGGGATTATTGGGCTACAAAGGGATAGCAACAATTAAAAGGGCAGAATTCTAGCTGGGGATCATTTTTCCCTCTCCTTCCACACAAAGGGAAGTTGCTGGCAGATGAGAAAAGCCTTTATGGATATCATAGTGTACCACAGAGAGACAGTATACCATTGCAGTAAACCTGTGATATATATATATATATATATATTTTTAATTCCAAGAAACCTAGCAGTTAAAAACAAGGTATGTAGTACTTTCTATACTGGTACTACAGTACATTATTCCACATGAGAACTGTAAAAATGTTATTTTTATCAGAGTTTATATGACTTTTGCACCTATAATATATATAAATTTCCTCTGGTCATTTTCTGGGAGGTGATCTCTTGAGAGGACTTCCTAAATAGATTTGGGCATACGCATAATTTTGAATTAAGTGACCACAAAGTGGCCATGGGTAAAGGCTAATATCCTGTCAGCATGTAGATGAACTATTTTCCAAGAAAGTGCTTACCTATAATTTAACAGTGCAAAGTCACCCCCCCATCTATCAGTCTATCTTTCTATCTATTTATCTAATCTACCTAAACTATATATTTCACAACAGCCTTTCTATTATCTTATTATTTTCTTTAGTAAACCTCTTGAGATTCAGTACTGAAAGTATTTTTATTCAATGAAAAGGTATATTTGTCTAAATAAACAGTCTTCAAACTGGGGCATGCATACCCTTGGGAGTTTAAGACTTCCCAAGGGATACACAGGCACAGACAGTTTTAAGGGAATCAATTTCTAGTTCCTCAACTTTCATATATTTTCTCACCTGAAACTCATTTGCCTGAGAACTCACCTGTGAGTTTTCCTTTCTTAGCTCCCCCTTTCCCATGCTCTTCTTCTGCTACATAAAATAAAGGTATATTTTCCTTCTTTGCAGAATTTTACTATGGTGCTGTACCCCAAGGTAAAATCTCTTGGGAGCCAAATAAAGAGACAATTCAAAGTAGGTGATGTGATACCTAGGTATCGAATCATTCTTCAGGTAAGGTGGTTTCCAATTCATTGCTTTCAATAAAATGGAATGAGGATCTAATCATGCTGGTAATTGGTAGAACATAAAAATAAGTTTCAATGACTGTTAAAATGATAGATAATTTAATAATAGTTCATAAAAATTCTTAGTAATCGCTATATGAATAATTCAGAAAGAGTTCAAAGATTTGAGTGACACTGTTAAAACAAAACTCTTTCCTTTTACATCTATTTTCTTATGTGAGTAACATTCCTCAGAGCTTCCATCTACATAAACAAACAAATAGGACAGACCTGTTGACAAATCCTGTCTCACTAAGCAATAAATAAATACATGAGTCAATTGGGGGGAAAAGACCCATCTATTTTATTAAAGATGTACTTCCAATAAAAGTTTGTTTTTTATGTTTAAAAAATGTTTGTTAAATTTTATTATAATTATAATAAGTGTAATATTTGTAATAATTACTCAATCCAGATTAATTTTTTAATAAGCATAGACTTATGATGGTCTTAAGATTTTTTTTAATTTAGCTACTTATGTTTAATTTTCCATACATAGTTTTATTGCTGAAAAGTACAATAGGGTAATCAATTTTTTAAGGTTAAGATAAAATTATACTGAAGAAGTAGAATGAAAATATAAACTCAAGATGAAAAAGGAATAATGTGAAATTTCCAAATAAGGGCTTTTTTAGACATTTTTTAAAAAACAGAAAATGTTGAGTATCAATTCACTCTGATATTTAGATTCCACTGGATGTATTAAAATTTTTTCACACTATGCCAGAAATTATAACCTTTGCAACCATTTAAACTTGTGATGAAAAGATTTATCACTTGGTTAGAACACGGTGCTGAGAATACCGAGGTTAAGGGTCTGGAACCCCATACGAGCCAGCTGTAAAAACAACAACAAAGTCTGAAGTCACCTTAAAAATGCATGAGAAGGTAAATGGTTTTAATTAGTTACTTTAGGGAGTAGAGGAATACACTGTGGCCCACAGGCCGAATCCAGCCAGTGTCTGGTTTTGTATATAAAGTTTTATTGAAACATGGCCATGTTCACTTTTTTTAATATTGTCTATAATGGCAGAGTTAAGTAGTTGTGTCTGAGGCCTTATGGCCCACAAAGTCTAAAATATTTACCATCTGGCCCTTTACCAAAAAAGTTTACCCATGCTTGGTCTAAAGGGTTACAATCGCTGAATTCATTTCATTAGACTTTATCCTATAGGATATTCATTGTCCCATTGTAAAACAAACAATGAGTCTGTCATTCAGAAATAAATGCTTTAAATGACTTAGCAAATGGACTTTATTGTTTTCCTGACTTTTAAAACTACCCAAGTGAGCATTTATTTTATTTTTTTAATTTATGGCATATCACATCTACTCAAAGCAAAACAATATTTAGGAACCAGAATAGTATTTATACTTCAAATAGGTAATTACTTCTTAGATTTCTGCTTCTATCTGGGGAAATGATAAATGAATTGGTTTTGAGCTTAAAGTTATTTTTGTTCATCCTGATAGTCCATCTGAGAAAGGTAGCCATTTAACTCTATATTGAAACAACAGTATTAGAGACAAAAAGTGGTAATGTACACATAGGGAACATCTTGGATTTTGAAAGAATAAATCTGCTCATTCATATGCCATCTTTAAAACCTTTACAATGCTAACAAATTTATTTGTACCAGAGAAATTTGATAGGATTACAAGCCAAACATCCATGCTGGTAGCAAACCCCCACAGCTAGGCAATTAAGTTTTTTATTCTAAATGTTATTGAATGGCATCTTCAATATCAAGGCTTAATATTCTTACCGATGCCACATTTGAAACCCCCATATATAAGAATGAAAAATACTAAACTAGCTATTTCAACTAACCTGCTCAAAAAGCATAATAGCAATTAAATATTCTAAGTCATCTGCTGCAGATGCTCATTTCATCCCAATGGCTCTTTCTGGTTTCCTCCCTATTTTTTTTTTTTTTTCTCCCTGAACAAATTTAACCTCCAATGGCAATTTATTGAGCTGTAGGACCCTAGGAAAATGAATACAAATATCTTAACACTACCATTGGCTGGGCAATATATTTCAACTTCGAAACTGCTCTGCAATTGCACATTAATCCCCTAAGACTGAACAGAGGTCCAGGAAGAAAGGATTGATCTCTTTTAATGATGAAACCCTGGCACTACAGTTTTATTTTTCACAACACAGTGTTGCTAAGAACCCCACTGTTATTATGAAAATTTTCCTAGCAAAGGAGCTCCATCACATTACCGGTGCACCAATTCATCATAACGTGCCTCGCTCCTGCTCATCAACAAGTCTGAGTGATGAAAAGATCCAATATTATCCTGACAGTACTTCATGCGCATTCTCAATCACACATTATTACAGCATCCATATTAATTTTCAGTGACACGCGTCCTAGGCCTGTTCAAATTAGGCAAACCAACGAGGGGGAGTTGATGAAATACCAGCATAGCCACAGCTCATTGCATTCCAATTTGCATGCAAATGGTTTATCAGGAAAATTCCATTCCCAGCAACCAGCAAGTGAAAAACAACTGTAATCTACACTTCAGGGCCACCATACAGAGCTTAATGAATCGCAAAGAGAGAAGGAAGTGACAGACCTATGAGAGGATCGATTTCCACTGGCAGCTGGTATGGCTGGTCTTGTACAGCACCTTGATGAGCTGGAATTCACAAAAGATAGAGAAAAAAAAAGCATTATTTTTCATCTTCTAAACTACATAAAAATGTGTAAGTCAAACCTTATGTAGAATTGTTTCCAACCTCCAAATCTCTCATGCAGTTTTGTGAAATTTAAAGAAGAAAAATCCAGGTGCTTTTATGGCTAGCTTATTAAACATTTATTTTAGATTAGTGCTGTTCTGAACATGTGCCATCAGCAGTGGCTCCAGTCCTAGGCCATAAGCTATAGCAGATGCTTGACTGGCAACCTCTGATGCTGCAACAAAACAAAATTAAGTGGTAAAGTGCACCGAAAACAAAATGTGACAACCATCTGCTGACTGTAGCGAATACTATTTTTTTGTTACTTCTTAAAAAGGCAGTTTTGAATGCTGCAGCACAAAGGATCCACAAAAACGTCAATTTATGACGGAGAAAGGGAAAGCTCTAAGTCAGGGAACATTTAATGTTTCATCCATCACTTAAAATTAATCAATTGAAAGTTTGAATAAAAATAAAACAAGCTATCCACAGATAAATGTTTTAGTTAAATGCATTTGGCTGAAATATTTCCTTAAAGATTGGACTGAGGGTTTTTAAAAAATTTATTAATATTTAATATTTCCATGGCTTCAATTTAGAAATACTCTGAGAAGCAAATGAGTAAGAAAAATCAATCTATACTAAGTATAGTTTGCTCAATTCTCAAAATGGTTTTAAAGATTCAGGCATACTTATTTTGTAATTGAAAGGTTTTTTGCAGGTTGTTTCCCTGTGAAAGGTAGAAGGAACTCAGGTAGAGAGGAAGTGTACTAGGACTCAGGAGCTGCCACTGGTGAGCCAAGCCTTAGCCAAGTCATAAACCCTAAAATGAAGGGTTTGGAATAGATGATCTTTTCAGCTTCACAGTTCTGATAGCTAAATTCTGGGCCCTTTTCCAAACTATTTTCCCCAAATGACTCAGCCATTCACTCTGGTCAGTATCTGCCTTTTGTAGACTCACAAGCATTTTATATCACTGCTTGGTTGGTATTAGAGCTCTGCTTAAGATAGATTATAGGAAGTTTTTCTGACTGTCTTTGAGGGGCTGAAAATAAAAATGGGGTATATTTCAATGTGTTTATTAGATATTTTAAAACTTATTGTGTCATAATTCCCCAGTTAGTAAATACCAACTTTTTAAAGATGTTTGGAAGATCATTAGTATTGATAAAATACCTAACTAAGTACAATACCGGCACCAAAAATTATAGTTGAGTATGTATAAGAAACTAAAGTAGCTGAAGAAAGGAGGCCCCAATGACTCACTCTTTTTTTACTGAAGGTATGTATCTTTGCTGATTACTGACTCTGCTGGTAAAAAAAATCACAGAAGCTTACAGGGAATGATCAAGTAAAATGCACCATAGCCTCTAGTCTACCCGACATTGCCATTTACTTCCAATGTCAATCAGCACTAATAGCTTGAGAATTTTTCTCTACTTCTCTGAGATTCTGGGATTATAGAAACATTAAAACTAAACTGTTAGAGGGCCGGCCCCATGGCTCACTCGGGAGAGTGCGGCGCTGGCCGCGGGTTTGGATCCTATATAGGGATGGTCAATGTGCTCACTGGCTGAGCGTGGTTGCAATCCCCTTACCGGTCAAAAAAAAACCAAAAACTAAACTGTTAGAGAAAGAGATTTATGGAGGTTTGGTCACGCCTCAACTTCCAGGTCTGCCACTGACTGCCTTTGTGACTTTGGGCAAGTTATGTAGCCTCTGTGTTTCAGTTTCCTGATGTATAAGACAGGTCAAATGGGTTAGGTTGAACTGTATGAAACTGCCTTTTTTATAGGCAGAATGAACAGGTATTGGCAATTTCATATGGTTCAACCTAAATATAGAACCGACATCCTCAGGTTGTTGAGGGGATTAATACACATAAAATGATCAAAACATTACTTACAAACTAGAAAGTCCTCTATAAACATTAGTTGCTGTTATTTTATTTTTTTTAGAGGTTCTTCAAGGTCCTTTGAGTGAGAAGGGAGTATAAAGATTATTTCTTTTCAAAATCAGTACACAGATACCACTCAAAGAAATGACAGGAGCTAGCTGTCTAATGAATGAGCTATGGAAATCACAGATCCTCAGAAAAGAAACAAAATCTAAAATTGTTTTTTAAAAATTAGTGTAATATGAATTTGATATTTTCTGAAGAAAAACTGTTGGGGATTTTTGATGTTTGTTTTAAATCAAGGCATATTGACAGGTAAAGGTAGCACAAGATAGGATGAAAGATCAGATTTATGTAAACACACCTAAATGAGGCATAGATTTAGTAGAATGGATGCTTAATAGTTTTAGGTGTAGGTGTAGCTCAGAATTGAAAGTCACTAGAAAGAACTGCCTGTGATGTATCGCCATTTGTATTCTTTATGTTTATCTGGTGAAGAGTTGCTGTGTCATACTGTAAAGGCAGTATGTATATAAAGAATGGGGACAAATATCACTAATGACACAGGTACAGACAGCTCTTAATTTACAGAAACATGAGCTTGGACTGAGAACAACTGGATGCACCGTAAGTGGTACTCCAACAGAGGGACCCTAACCCTACATCACTTTACATATTCATAGAAGAACTGGAAGTGGGGAAGAGAACACCTGACCACCAAGTACTAAGGGAAGCAAGCTTCATGGCTTGCTCAAAAGGGAAATGTCAGAAGCGCTTAGTCATCAATGCTTAGGGAGTATGCCTAACAACTTGAACATCAGCAGCAGACCTAGTACCCCTCTGGTTGAGCCAGCTCAGTCCCTGCTGACCTAGCTCTTCACTAGGCTAAAGGGGGCAGAGAGTAGTCAGGGCTTTCCAGAAGTTGGAAAGGTTTGCCTGTCCTCGCATATGCTGTCACTCTGTTTAATGAAGAAGTTTACAGGGCTGCCACAAACAGCCACCCAGGATAAGCATCATTTGTGGTGGCCCTGATGTCACACACACTGGTGCACTTACAAAGCGCCAAGAGTAAATGCACACAGAGTATGCAAATCTTCCAGTGTATTTGATAGAATATACCACCAGCGTGTTTTTCTTCTAAGGAGAGTAGTAGTTAGTGAAAACAAAAATCATGCTTCTTAAACAAATTATAATCTTTAGTCCCAAAATGTAAGTATGTCATTTGCATACACATTTACTGCTGTAAGAGAAGTTCGCTTGAAGAAAAAGGAATACAAGGACTTAATAACAGAGACAAACCTGCCTCAGTTTTTACTGTCTCCACTTTTTCTGAAATCTATTCTCTTATCAAATATAGGAATTTCTTTTCATCGTTTCACTTCCATTGGCTAAGAAAATGGCTATATGTAGTAAATTCTGATTCCAACCACAGATTTTTTGTGATGGGTTCCTAACTGAGCTTAGTCAGTGTACCAAGTTTTTGTTTGAATATCACTTTTGTTCTGTTCTAAAACTCTTGCATTTAATTTGGCATGAGGCCCTTGCTCAAGAATTTGTATTTTTGCCACCATTCCAGGTATTCTAATGAGCAGTGCTTTATGCACATTTTACAAATTTAATGACAAGTTAACAGACTATTAAAATCTATCATTTGAAATCTCCTACCTAAAACAATGGCTTGGGGAAAAAAAACATATAATCTACAGAATTTTAAAAGATTTTTCCTTCTTAAAAAAAGAAAAAATTCTAACTAGTGGCCAAAAAGAACAGTGCTAAGTGCAGATCCCAGGATTCCTGCTCTAATGAGAGGCAATGAATCACAGAGGGGCAGTCATAAAATCTGAGTCAGAAAACGTGGGTTCAAACCGTGCCACTGACTGGCCATATATGATGCTGAATAAGGCAGGCTTAGTGTCTTCCTTGGTAAAATGGAATCTACTCCTTGGGGCTGGAGTAGATAAACTCTAATATCGCTTCAAACTTGGACAGTTTATGATTCTAATGGTTATTTCAGTTCAGCATGACTATTCAGCCCTTAATGGAAGAAAAGAAGGTACTTACGGGTATGCAGTATTTTGGCTGTTATTTAAGTGTTCTTTTTCTATCTTCCACAACAAATACTACCATACCATGCACAAAATGTAGTTTCTGGCATACAGTAGATAAACAGGAGTGTTTGATGAGTGAAAAAAAGGGAATATATGATAAATAAATATATGCTATTTATGAATGCAATATAGAATATCATTATATTAAAATATTATATTAGAAACAATATTTACCACCAAACAGAAAAACAAACCACCAGATGCCAAAGAATAGTTTATGTTTTAACATTTGTACTATGTACCTTAGATGGGACTTTCGGCCTTTCAAACTGTTCAACATTTTGATTCAGACTAATGCTTGAAAATTAAAAGGTTAAATGTTGTGATATAATATATTTAAGTGGATATCATGATATCTTTACACAGTGTTAGCAGTTACTATGCCTTATAATGATATTCCTTTACTTACCAGGAAGGTTGTGCCACTTATTCACGGCAAACAGCCTGTTAGCAGTGACTGTGATCACAGCAGGAGTTGCCACACCAGGCTGGGTGTTGGCTGCCACGTGAGTGACAGGGGAGTTGGAGGGAAACTTTAGGACCATGATAACATCCTGCTGGGCTTGGTCTGTGAACATCAATGGACTCTGCAGGAGGAGATACTGTTGAGTGGGCATGACAAGACCCAAATATACAAGAAGGAAAAGACAAAGAAGGACAAGAAAGAGGGTACAGGAAAAGAAGAAGAAGAAGAGCATGTTAACACAACTTGCAAGTGAAAGTACAGTGAGCAGAAAGGCTTGCAGAAACAGCAGTTACAACTGGCTTCCTTTTCATGTGTGTCATTAGTGGAAATATTTGGTGATTAAAGTAGAACACAATAACAGAAATACTTTAAAAGTTTATAAGTTTTATTAACTGTCTTTCTCTCCTCACTGCCATGAGAAACTAGAATTATGATTTGATTTAAATAGTAAATAGGCAAAGTACTGGGGATTGTGTTAAACCATTCCAGTTGCTATCACATGTCACATAATGATCTTCTAGTAAAAAACAGGAAAAGAATGAGTATAGGCAATAGACTAAAAGCAAGCCAAGGTAATTTCCGAAGATTATCAAAAGTTGTTGAGTTAGTATGAAGATTTTGACAACTAAACAAAGAGATAATAAAAACAAACATATTTATAAACAATAGGTAGATGGCATGCATATATTGCAGTAGAGAAATAACTTATGAATGTAATATACAAACTTAATTATAAAGATGTTTCAAGCAATGCATAATTAAATGTACTTCTAAAAACAATATATTTATATAGTGTGCCAAGTCATAAACACTGCCTATTGTAACGCAATGACACTGCTTTCTGCTGTAGCTGGGGATAAAGAGAATACATAGATGTCCCTCCTCCTTCTTGGTAAAAATACTAAAGCTCAAGACTTTTTGATTTCTCCTTTGAAAAGCAGAAAGTAATTGAAAATGTTAAATGAAACATGTCTGTTCTAATGACCAGCAACAAAATAAATCTTAAAGATTACTAAGGATTTGGAACAATACTACAACCCATATGTCATAATCCAAGACATATATAACACCACTCTGATTTATTGGCTTTATTTATACTTTGTGGTAGTGTGCTATCATACAGTAATTGCACTGTACATTTTCTGCAATTCTCTCCTACCGTGTCTATTTTCTAATAGCTGATTAGTATCATTCAGAATTGAAACACTTTGATGAAATGCTTCTGGCTGCTTTCCTACTGCCATACTTCAAAACAGAAGGTATATGTAAATGTGTAGGCACATATATTTAACACATTTATTTCGAACTGCTAATAAAAAATTAAATACATTTGCATTTTTATTATCAGTCCTTTTAAAAAAGTTATTAAGAGTACTTAGAAAAACATATTGCACTAAGAATTCCTATTTGCACTCTTTGCATAAAGGTGTAAATAAAGGCAACTAATAAGCTACCCAGACACCCTTCTGAGCAAGTGGCTAAAAGCCAATCAATATTATGAGTTAATCCTCCCTGGATGCTCATTCAATTAAAGGTGTCAGTAATGCCTCATCTGATGTGGCCTCAATTAAATCCAACTATCTGATGGTATGAAAACACAGGGGGATACAGCAACAGCAGCAAAACCAGACAAATAGGCAGCCTTCGTGTGCCAGCTAATTACTACACCTGGTGTATATTATGGCTCATGCACTTAACGCAGCACGAGGTGGCTTTAATTTCTGCCATATTCATATGTAAGTGTGTGGTGGAGTACACTGATGTTGAGGGCAGAACTCATCTGAATGTCAGTAAAAACTATTAATAAATATGTGGGCCTTTGATTTTTAAAATCCTCAATATCAATAAGTAATTTTTGTCATACAAAAAATCTTTTATACAGTTTTTAAAGAATTCTGTGAAATGAGGTAAAAATGAGAAACAAGGAGCAACACAAACAAAATATCCTATAAGCTAGTTTTAAAGAAGTCCTGGGAAAAGGAAATGAACATCATTTCAGAGTACCAAGTCTTATTTTTTAATTATGTAGTTTTTAAATAATATTTACTAAAGCCAATTCATAAACTCTGAGAAAATTAGAGTACAACATAATCATAGTCTCACTGAAAGGGAGTTCATACATATCTTTGAGCTTAACAGCTCATACTCTAAATATAATTAGTTAGGCTCAAATTGAATAATTCCAATGTTTATATCCTTAAAAAAACACAAAAATCTCTAATGTGTAGGAAGAATGTCTTATTTATATAGTGACTCTAGTGGGCCAACTCTTAGCCACATGGCATGGACAAGCCACTTTCCGCAGCAAGCTACAGCTACAGACCCATATCCAGATCGGTCCACCTCATCCGTACAACAAGCTGTCCCTCCAGTCAGCTCCTGCACACCCCAGTCTGACTCGAGCTCCTGATGCAGGCAAGCAGCAGGAAACTCTCGGGAGCTCCATCATATCCTTGGCTAGTAAGTACGAATGAGGAGCTCTAGAACTAAGAAAAAGCACATCCCACCCTATTGGGGTAGCCTGCGGTGATGGCAGCAGCTGGAGATGAGTAGGGCAACTGCTAAAACAGGGATAAGAGAAATAAATCCTCTTTTAACCCTGGTGCCTCTGTGAGGCCATCCAAGGTAGAAGTAGAAAACTTAGCCAAATTTCATTCAGTTTTCCCAGATTAAGTGTACACTTGCTGACAAATCTGGTTGTTGTTTTTTAACATGTCTTTCTTTCCCACCTACATATATGTAAGATGAAAAACACGATCTGTACAAGTCTGAAAAGGAGTTCAGGTATTCAATTCAGAGAACAAAGATAATGGGGAAGACAGTCTTCCATCTTCATATGAGCATGTGCCTTCCCAGCCTTCCTGACCTAGGGATAGTAAAGCTGATCTTCCTCGATGAGCCAATATTCCTTTAGCTATGGAGGAAGGCTTGGCAGTGGGAACTGCAGCATTGCCCCAGTAACCAAGGCTGTGCAGTGACCCAGGCAGAAAGTCAATAGAGCAGTGGAGGTGCTTACATTAGCAGGCACCAAAATAGCCTGAGTCACATTGACAAGCTATTACTAAAACTAATTCCAAAGCCCAAACATAAATCATTCTTACTATTTTTATGGCACTGTTTTCCATTGTTCTTATTAAATGTTCACTTTTTGTGTAGTCTTCTGCCTACTAAAGTCTCTCTTCACGTTCATTTAAATCTGATATCACTGGTTTAAAAACATTTAGGAGAAAAGGTGATGAAATAATTTTTTAAATGCTTGTAGTTTAATTATTATGGCCAATTCATATGACTAGAGAAAGAAGAGGGAAAAAACTTGGAAGAAGAAATAAGATGACAAAGAGGACAAAAGAAAACACACAGAGAAGAAGGTGATGTGGGAAGAAAAAGGAAAAAAAAAGAAAAGAAAAGAGAGCCAGAGGCACACAGGACCTCATCTGTATCTCTCGCCCTCTTGGCTGCTACTCTCTCTTTCCCATTATTTGTCAAAATTCTGCCAGCTCTAAGCTACAACATCGAATTTGAATTTATCTTAAACTGTTATTATATTTATGAAAATAGATTTTATATTCTCTATTCTTAATTTAAAACAGTAATGTGTAATCTGTTTTTATGAGGGACAATTCAAGAAAAAAAATCTATAGTCTGTTCTTTAAAAAAATTATTTTTATCATGCAATTCAGTTTGTTACTATGCCATGTTTCTTTTCTCACTGAAGAATTTTCTCCTGAAATTTCAAGAACCATAAAGGTAGAACAGCCACATTATTTTACAGCTCAAGTCTATTTCCCTATCCCTGATTCTGGGCTGGCTTTTGACTTGCTTTGACCAATAGAATGGCAATATGATGTATCTTTTGGGACACTGCTCCTACCATGCGAGTGGCCTAACTTCCTTGAGGATAAAAGAACATATGGAAAGAGAAGCCAAGCCATCTCAACCCACCCCTCCGCAATGCATGAGTGAGCCAAGGTGAAAAGAGCAGAAGTGCCCATCTAACCCTCAGAATCATGAGAAATAAAACAAATAATTGTTTTAAGACACTAGATTTGGAGTGGTTTGTTACACCAAACCATCATTTTCCCCCACATAGTCCCTGACCTTCAGGGACTACATTATTAAAATTAGTTTTTAAATTCCCAAACTGAGAAACATAATGGGACGTAAAGAATAAACACAACAGCAAAACTAATCTAGAAACTCAAGGGGTCAAATCAGAAAACTTATCAGTCCTATGTCTATAGTCCTTTATCCCACAATGAGGATACATGACAATTATGGACCTTTTAATTCTGCAACACAAAAGATGAACTGGTGAAATATTAGAGCACTGGAGCAACATTTACCTTCTCAAAGACTCCAGGAGAGAATGCAATAACATTTGCTGGTTGTTAGCAAGTTAATAAACATTGCATAACAATAGGCCCAGGTGTGGTAGACAATCTCAAGCACAAGAAAAGATTGTTATGAATATCAAACACAGTCTGTAAAAGAGGCAAGAAATGAGGAGAGTGAAAATAGCACTTACCACTTGCATGGCAGAACCTCTGGGAGGATGGGGCTCTATGAGTAGTTGAGAAGGCGTCTGTCCAAAACTTCGGATTTGAGCTTCAACAGCCTGAAAAAGGCATGGGCAAGTTTGAGGGTTAAGAGGTGCTAATTATAGGCAATAGACCCACAACTGTCACCTGAAAACGTCATTCCATACTTCTGGCTTGTTTCATGTTGAAAATCAACCTGTGTTTTCACAGTGGGGCTAAGAACCTGGCAAGGGCATTGAGGGTGAGGTCATCCTTTAGTACTGTGAAGCTGTTCCTATAAAACTCTGCAAGAGTTTCTCATCTTGCTCAGTGATATGAAACAGAAACCAGCCATTACAATCTGAAATGGTCCTTTTTGGCTTCATCTCTGTTTTCTCGCATTTGGTTTTGCTGCTTGCATCATCCCCAATGACGAGAAGCTAATCTTTTACAGGTATAAGGAAAAACTATTGCTTCTTTGATTCTAGGCCCCATTTCATCCTGGGAAGTAGAAAGGAGGAAAAAAGAAACATAGCACCTGTGAAAATGGCTTGATGCTTATTATTTTTGCCATAGGAAGAGCATTATTGTTGACAGTTTCTTTGAACTTAGATGGCTAAATAACAAAGTAAAAGCCATATGTTGCATCCAAGCATGGGATGGTTAAACCAGGGACTAACTAAACATAAGGAGCATGTGTGTGTGTGTGTGCCCTTCTTAAAAGACATGCGCATACACCTTTTGTAAGGTACTCCCCTACTATGGCTCTTACTGCTCACCTGACACATATGTCTATCCCCCAATCATCCACAACTTCCTCATCATGGGAAACTATTAAATGCTAGGTGCTATCACTATCTGTATTTTATTTACTTGTTTATGTCTATCTCCTGCTTCTAAAATACAAGATCCACAAAAGCAAAGACCTTATGTATTTTCTTCACTGTTAGATCTCTAAATTGGGTGAATAAATAAGTGCTATGGGATGCATGAGGGGAGAGATGGAAGCAAAGACACATAAAGTCTACTTCAACACCCCTACAACAGTCAGTATTCTTAACTTCCAGATTAAAAGGGTGAAGAAAACCCCTCATGTTCATAAGAGAATTTTTTTTTTAATCCCTAAGAAAATGGGTCTTCAATTTTTATATGCTGTGCGGACCTTCACACTGAAGGCAATTAATAAATTATAAACAAGGAAAAATAATCATTATCCAGTATTAGTTTCTTTTTTTATTTGAGGAAAACAGCACTAATACTCCTTCACAAGGACCTTATAAAAAACAGTAATAGTATTTATTCATTTATGCATTCAATGATCATGAACTATGTATACAGCACTATTAGGTCTTAATGTTTCTGCCCTTGAAGAATATATTCCTGATATAAGAAGCAGGACAAATATACTTGGAAGGTTGAATAACAGTCGATGCAATCTGTCCAATAAGTTCAAGGAATGTGCTATGCTTTATGAACTATGTGATCAAGAATAAGTTATTTAACCTAAGTTTCTATTTTCTCTCTTGTAAAATGTGGATAATATTAGTATCCACTTCATAGTGTTATATTAAGGATTAAATGTTATGTATATAAAAAACACAGCAAAGTGCTTTGCACAGATCAGACCCTCAATATTCAGTCAACAAATATTCATTGAGGTCTGCTAACAACCAGGATAACAAATAGTTATTAGGTACTTACTATGTGCAAGGAACTTTTCTAAGTGATTTATTATTTATATAATTTAATCTTTAAACTTTAGGATATGAGTACTCTACTATATCCATTTTATAGGTAAGGAAGATAACACACAAAGAACTTAGATATCTTGCCCAAGGCAAGGGCAGGTGGTCATTAAATGGCAGACTCAAAATATGCACTCAAGCAGTTTGACTCTGAGAACTCATATTCTCAACCATTAAGCAATCATGCCTCCTTGTCTGTTAGGTATTATGCCAGGCACTAGGGACAAGACTGAGTGCCAGAACACTGAATCTTCCAAATCTTGAGTGGAGGAGTAAAAAGCTTGCAGAACACTACTGAGGACAGGGGCATCAACCTGCCCCTCCATGTGTGTCAACTTGAGCACAGGACATTTTAGCAGCATAAACTGCCGGTCTCAGGGGTGCTCCTGGTCTTTGGCACCGTGTTGACTATTCAGCTTAGGAACTGTATTAGCCCTGCTTGTGTTTAGTTTTTAGTTATTTAAATTTAATTTATATATAATGTCTTCTCTATTCATCAGTGGGATATCTTAGAACCTGGCATCTAGGAATAAGTTGCAAAATATATAAAACCTTTGTAACAGAATAAAAAAAAAAAAAAAAAAAAAAAACCGACCCAACGCAAA